CACTACAGCCCCAAACACCACACCCCCGAAGACCACACCCCACACCCCAGACCCCCAAAACCCATCCAACCTTGATCAGCGACTCAAAACGCCCCCCCAAATCCACACCGGTGACACCCCCCCCACAAAACTCCTCAGTCGACAAAAAATATATTTTTCCCTCACGATAAAAAATTCTGACACCAGGGTCGGGCCTTTTTTTTTTCGTTTTGTTTTTCCGGTTCAAGGGGCAGGGGGCGCAGCTGCGCAGACGAACCCACCGCTCCGACCTCCCACCTACCCCCCGACTGGGTGCCTCCGCGGGGGATTCATAGCCTCCAAGGGAAGAATTAGGGGGTTTCATAGCCTCCAATGAAAGAATTAGCATTTCAGACATGGGTAGTAGTAAAACCCATATGGATAACCACGAGCATATGGACTGCATACTTTCCAACCAGTACGTAGTAACTGAAACACAGGAATACAAACGCACTGACGGAAAAGGACGAAGGACAACGGAGAAAACAAGGGCACAGAAGGAAAGAGGGAGGTGAAGAGCCGAAGGAGGAACAAGAAGGAATCAAAGGGGAAAAGAGGAGGAAAAAAGGAAGGAAAAGAGCAAGGAAAACAAAGGAGGGAGTGGAGGACGCCGATCCGAAAAGCAGTGAAGGGAAAAAAAAGAAAGAAGAAGAGAGGAGGAAGAAAGGAGGAAGGAGAAGGGAGGAGAAAGGAAAGAGAAAGGAGGGAGGAGTTCAAGAATGGAGAAAGACGGAATAAGAAGTAAGGAAGAACAAGGACAAAGGATAGAGAAAGGAGGAAGAAGAAATCAAGAATAGAGAAAGACGGAATAAGAAGGAAGAACAAGGAGGAAGGAGGAGGAAGGAAGAAGGAGAGGGGAGGAAAACGAACGGAGGCAGATAACAAATGAGAGAGAGTGACGAACGCCCATGTCTGAAAAAAAGTGCTAAGGGGTGCCTCTGAGCGGACAGACCTCCTCAACGGAGAAGGAGAAAGAGGACGTAAAACTAAGAATGAAGGAGGAAGGACGGACGAAGAAAACGAGGACTCGAGGAGAAAAACGGAAGAAGACGGAAGGAGTCAGCAAAGAAAAAGGAAGAAGAGAGGCAGACGAAAGAAGAAGAAGAGAGGCAGGCGAAAGAAGGAGAAAGAGGAAAAAAAAAAAACGTGAAAAAAAAAAAAAAAAAAAAAAAAAAGGAGAAAGAAGAAATAGGAAGATAGAAGGAGAAAGAAGAAATAGGAAGACAGAAGGAGAAAGAAGAAAGAAGAAAGAAGAAGGAGAAGTATGGGGAAAGAAGAACGAAGCATTCAATAACAAAAGGAGAGAGAGAGAGAGAGAGAGAGAGAGAGAGAGAGAGAGAGAGAGAGAGAGAGAGGAGCGCAGCAAGAGCTCATGTCGCACTAAGCAAGCAAGACGTGACGAGTTTACCCAGACGGAGCACGAGAGCCAGCCAGAGAGCCATAGCGGAGCAAGAGCAACAGCGCTATACGGAGAAAGAGGGCTATACGGAGCAAGTGAGCTATGCGGAGCGAGAGCTGTAAGAAGCAAGAGCTATACGGAGCAGGAGAGCTATTCGGAGCAAGAGAGGAAAATATTGAGGAAGAGAGCTATACGAGCAGGAGAGCTATCCAGAGCAGGAGAGCTATCCAGAGCAGGAATGCTATACGAAGGCAGACAGAGAGCTATACGAAGCAAGCTACATGGAGCAAGAGAGAGAGCTATAGGGAGCAAGACAGGGAGCTATACGGAGCAAGAGAAAGAGCTATAAGGAGCAAGATCGAGAACTGGACAGAGCAAGCGAGAGCTAAAATACACTTCACGCGAAGAATAAAAACAGGTCGAGGAGAAAACAGTGCCTGCCAGAAAATACAAAGAATTTTTCTTTCGATGACGACAATTTTTATTTTGTTTTCTCCCTTGAAGATAACGGCGATGAAGCCCAGTGACCAACGACAAAAGGGAGGAGGAAGCACGAAGCCACAATGGTATTTAACCCCAAAAAAAGGGACGAAAGAACCAATCAGACGCTGACAGACGGAATGTTATTCAAGCCTTCATCCTCATCAACATTCAGAACAAGAAGAAAATAACTTTAATGCCATTCATCCTCATTTCAATTAAGGAAAAGGAAAAAAACAAGAAAAGAAAAAGGTAGGAAAACGGCGATAAAAAACCTTTTTTTTCCCTTCAACAAATAGAAACGAAACGAAACGAAACGAAACGAAGCATCAAACAGCCCGGGGGTCTGGTCCCACCTAAGGTTCTCAACGGTGTGACGCCATTTCGACATTAATAAATTCGAAACAAGAAATAAAAAAACTGAAAAAAAAGCTAGAAACAGCTTTTCTCTTTATTTTGGATAACGTAAGTCAGAGAAATGAAAAATGTCTGGAACAGTTTGAGTGACCGTCTCCGTGAAAAAGGGCTACTCCCCGTGGTGAGGGGACAGGAGATCACCATTCGTAAAATGGACAGGGACAACGTGGATGGCCAAATGCATTCATTGCCCAAAGAAGGAAACGAGTTTCATGCCAGAGAGCCAAACACA